CATAACCATTTATCCTTAAGGATAGACATTACTTTAAAATTCTGTTTGACTCTTTCTTCTCCCTTACTTCTCCAATAAGACACCAAATCCAGTTGACTATACCTTCAACTTTTCTCAAATAATTTCTTCCTCTCTTGATATTAAAAATCTCAAAAAGTACAGTAGGTGATTAATAAATCTTTAATGCATTATATTACTATTATATATATTACTCCTCAGAGGTCCAGAACCAATGAGACAGCCTTCTTAACTTTGTTCTCTTAAATTATTCATTAGATAACATCATAACTTTAGGAAAGGTAAATGCTAGAAGAGCAATAATTCTACTAAAGCATTATCTATAGGAAATCTGAATTAGGAAGACTGCTTCCCTAACGGATTAATTCTCCTGAATCCAAAAGAAAAATACCTGGTCAAACTCATTTATAATCTAATAATACAAAAAAACAATCTAGAGGATTAGTCTAGGAAAAATTTCACTTGAAGACAGGAACTATTTGATTTTTGTATCCTCAACCTCTAGTCCTATGCTAGCAACAAAGGTACTTAAATGCTTGAGGTTTGCTTGTATCTGTAACTAAGAAGCCAACATTATTTAATAATCAGCCCTTCTTGTTTATTTGATCCTTATTTTAGGTCAAAAAAGAAGAGATCATCTCCCTTCCTCCATCCCTTAAACCTATGCTTACCCTCAATATTACTCACTCTTACAGACTTAAAACAGTACAAACATGAGGATATGAAGATTTAAATGAACCTATTTCTACAATTAAATGAGATACCTTGCAAAGTCAACACAGCACTTCTGTCATATCATAATGTGGCTTCCTCTTTAACTACATTTTCAATAGTCTTGACTGAGCTAGACTTGGGCAATTAATCTAACAGATTACCAGGGTAACCTAATAGACTACCAGGGACCCCTCAAATCCTGGCAAAGTTGTCAAGAAAACATTTCAAATAGATTTCAGGTGAAGAAAGACATTGCTTTATTAAGTTCAAATCTTTTTATAAATAAGAAACTTATCTTTTCAAAACCTTTGGTCCAAAAATTATATAATCTGATGGGAGATTTTGAGTTTTGCAATCAAAGTCAGTCAAGGCTAAAGATTTTAGGATACTCCTTAACTTCAGAACTGCTTCTGCAAAAAGAATCACGTAAGGCAGAGTGGGTGAATCAAAGGAACAGGAGATGTTGTATGAGATGTCCTGGCTCTGCAATTTACTTTCTATATGAGCTTGAGGAAATCACAACCACTTTTGGCCTATTTCTTCATTAGTAAAACTAGGGATTTGATTTAGATCAAAGGGCCTTAATAGCTCTAAGTCCTATGGTCTTAAATACAAATTTCTACTGATAACAAGCTATTTTATTCAACTGTATTAGTCTATTAGAATACGATCTTCCACATTTTATAGATTTTAGGGTCCTCTATAGCTTGAATCTAGCGGCTCTAACCACTTTCAAACATTTGATTATATAAAGTTCAAAAAAATCCCAGAAGATTTTCTCTTGCCTCCAGAGCTCTTTATATCCTGTCCTAAGTGATGAGTGCCTATCTTTACAAACTACTTACTCATTTCACTAGTAGAAGATCCTCAAAATTACTTCCAAAAGTAGTCTATCACATATTTAAGAAGAGAGACTATTTTCCCCAAATAATAAAATTGCTGGACATCCCTTCAAAACTCTGTGCAAACTTTCTTCTCACACTGACTGCTCTCTAATCCTGTCACCTTGCATAATAATCAAATAGGTTTTAGGTTTTATTCCACTACTGGTCTCTGCTATACTATGAGAATTCAATTCAAGTCAACAAATGTTTTAATGAGCAAGATCAAGGTGCTGCTTACACAAATAAAAGAATGAAATGGTCCTTGATCTCAAGGTATTAACATGTACACTATTAAGCAAAAGCAAAATAAGTCTGGGGACCCCTTACATGCTTTAAAATGCATAAAATAAGATATATAAGATTTAAAAGAAAATGAATAATGCTGAATATCGAAATAAGGTTATCAAAATATTTTTAAATAAGTTAATAAATCCCAAATTAAGAACCTTTGCTCTATATCTTAAAAATGGCCTCTGATTTTTGCTGTGTCCAAAAAATTAACCTCACAACACTCAACTTTATCTGTCCAAACATATCTGGGATTAGGGTTAGTGTCAGAAAGGAATTTAGGATTAGAAACAAAGTAAGCAGTGCTAGAAAAACAATATATACAATGAGTACAACAATGTAAATAGAAAGAACAAGCACAGAACAATTAAAACCAAATGTAATGTAATTATAACGATCAAGCATAGCTCCAAATTAAAAAACATCGTTTCCCTCTCCTTTGCAGAGGTGTGGGACATTGCACAGAACGTCAGCAATTTTTTCCCCTCCTTTCTCTTTTTAAAAAAAATTGTTATAAAGGATGTTTCTCTGGGAAGTGGGGGTGGTGGGATACAGAAGGAAATATAGTCAAAATATAAACAAAACAATTATTTTTTAAAAGTGGAGAATGGTATCTTTTTTTTTTTTGGCAAAGCAATCGAAGTTAAGTGACTTGCCCAGGGTCACACAGCTAGTAAGTGTCAAGTGTCTGAGGCCAGATCTGAACTCAGGTTCTCCTAACTCCAGAACTGGTGCCCTATCCACTGTGCCACCAAGCAGCCCCAAGAAGTGTATTCTGTTAACAAAATACTGTATAATCATCTAATAATAGAAGCTTATACCTATATAGTGCTATGTGGTTGACAAAAAAGCATCTTACATATGTCATCTTGCTTCAAGTATTAAATTGCTAACCTAGGATATAAATCTATTTCAAACTACAACATTCATTTGGCCTCCATCAATCTCTAGACTGTAACAACCAGTATTAAACACTGAGACAATTTTCACTCCAGCTCTGCCTAAAGCCCATTAATACCAGGGTATTAGGGTATACTTTACCTAAATTCAAAGTTTTCCACATATAATCCTTGTTCCTATTTCCTAACCCAATATAACATTACTAATATTGCCCCATTAAAAAAAAACTGATGTTTAATGATCATATCACATGACAGAAAAGTCTATATTGCCTAGGCTGAAATGGGGAAGAGATATTTACCCTTTTGTGGAGTGGTATTTTTTTAAAGAAGGTAGGAGGAGTCAAATCTAGGTTTCACTAGGCTTTCATAATCAATGGTGATTCACATGGGTAAACCATTTAGAGGGAGCTCAATGAGGAACCATTACCTATTTGTTAAACAGAAATTTAAACAAATCAACATCTCCCATTCCCATAATCACCCAATATGCCATACCAAAGTAGAAGCTTTTGCTTTTATAACAATGATATACTTTAAGAAAAATAAACTGAATTTTAAAAATACACAAAACATATGCCTCAATATTTCCTCATCTCTAAGACTAACATAAATCTCAACTTTTCTGGAACTATTATTCATCAAGTTCTTATATATGCTATTTAGGGAACAATTTGACTAATCAATTAGTCATTACATTCAGTCATTACTTTCTTCTATAAGCTAAACAACAATACTCTGTAAGGTTTCAAAGAAATTAGTCAGGGTCTTCTGTCAGTTTTATTTGAATGCAAAGGGCCCTACACAGGGAGAACAAAGGCAGTCAGTCCCTAATTCAGCTCTATTAGAGTTATGTCAGTTGTTCCCTTAGCCTTTCCTCCAATATGACCTTTGACTCATAAACTAGACTCCCAGAGACTCATTTTACCCTACTCAATATGAAGCACCAATTACAAAGAGGCAGTCATTTGGGGATACTGTCTCAACATTCTTTTTTCAATCTTATATACCTAAACACAATGTAGAACACAATGTATCTCATATATAAAATGAAATATGAATCAGCTCATACTTGTTCAAATAATTCTTAAAGGTACTCAGATTCAATCTCAACATAATTCTGGAAAAAAACTTAATGAGTTCCTTTTCCAAGCTATTTTGTGAGATACAAGTAAACAACACACAGTCTTTAACCTAAGGCTTATGATCTAATAAGGATGATACCTGCACAACCCACAAGCACCTACTATGTACCACGTACTGTGATAAGCATGAAGGATACAAAGGCAAACATACATTCACTGTCCTCAATGAGCTTATATTCTAAGAGAATTTAACAATGAAAGAGAATATAAAGAACCTGATGATCGAAATGGGCAGACTCAAAGGAGAGAGAAATCACTTACAACTAGAGAGACCTTAGATCACCAGGACCACCAACTGAGTGGCACTTAAAGTGAGCCTTGGATTTCAAAAAGGAAAGGTAGGAATGGGAGAGGAAGAAGCCTTAAGGAGTGTGAGCCAAGGTCTATAAGTAGGAAATAAATTTATGAAAAAGTATTTGGTAAAGACTTATTATGTGCCAATCACTATGCCAAGCACTGGGAATACAAATACAAAAAGAAAGATGGCCCCTGACTTTAAGGAATTTACATTCTAATAGGGGAAGACAACACACAGGGGAATGGTAGTTAGAGAACAGTATATTGGACTAGAATGTCACCATGACAGAAAGTCAAATGATCAATATATCCATTTCCAAGAATGGCAATATTGATATGATTACTGTTCCCAGAATTATAAGGGGAGGGGATTGAGATCAGGGATTAGGTGGGCAAAGGGTACAATCAAATCTTCACATGACCCTGAACTGGGAAATCAAATGAAATAGGAAATGGACACCAGCCATTTACCTTAGTGGCTTATCTCCTTAATGATTAACTTTTGACATTTTAATATAACTTTGTTATTTTGACAATAAAAATTACTTTCATTCATATAGTTTATTTTGGTTTTGGGTGGAGTATATGCTAAAATATGCCAAAATGATAAGCATTTTCTCTTAATAGCACAAACAAAAGACATTTACTTTGCTGCTATCAAAGAAAAATGCCTAAGAAAAATTACTGATAAGATAGAACACAGTCATAAATGAAAGATAAAAGAAAATCTAACAATTTAATTAAAAGTTATTTACCTTGGACCTAGAAGGGACTGAAGAGGTCACCTAGTCTTATCCCTTCATTTCACAAATGAGGACACTGAGGGTCAGAAAGTTTAAGCAGGCAGCTAGGTGGCACAATGGGTAGAGAGCTGGACCTAGAGTCAAGAAGACCTAAGTTCAAATCTAGCCTCAGACACTTACTACATTTATGGGCCTTAGCAAGTCATTTAAACTGTTTGACTCAGTTGCTCCACCTAAAAAATGGAGACAGCAAAAGCACTTACCTCTCAGGGTTGTTGTGAGGTCAAAATAAGTTACTGTTTACTAAGTGCTTTGCACTTGAGGGAAATTTCCACATAAATGAAGCTTACCCCTTCAAGCACCAAACCTTTTTTGTCCTAACCATTTTGAACAAAATTTTTCAGAAATGTTTTATACATTTCCCTGATCTTAAATTGAGGATACTGTAGAAAACATAACTTTTTCTTAATAAAACAAGATCATCATCATAAATATTCATTGCAGTCCTACAAAGTAATTCTGCTCTGTGCTTTTTTTTTTTAAGTTTTTCAATTTCTTCCTTGAATGTCTGGCTCTCAGTCTATCTCCCCTTCCCACTACCACTGCTAGTTCAATGTTTCAAGTTGAGAAAACAGATAACTAAAGTTTAAGAAGTTCAGGTTAAATAAAAATAAAACTGTAAAACACTTTAAGAGTTCAGGAGTAAAGCACTTCAATTTAAATGTAGGGATTTTGTCACAATTGTTTCAAGTGCTCAGGGGCCTTGTTTGTGGGATTTCAAGTCAAACGGCTGAAGTTCCTAGATAAGTAGAGGACTGATAACCTAATTTTTCTGTTCTACTAGATTAAAATGCTTTGAAAACCCTGTTCCCTTTTCAAGTAAATAAAAGAATGTTTTCCAATTGGGAAGTTTGCTGCCTTCTACTTATGCGTATTAAATTACACAAGCAATACCAAGGAATATCAAAAAGAAGGTTGCACAATTTAATTCTTACAATAGAATTCTACTGTTATGCAAATATAAGGAGTTTGTTTTAAAAGTTTGTTTGTGGATCCCATTCTCATTATTGGGTCTCTCAACGGAAAACACAGTAAAATTCTTACCTAAGCCCATAGACAAATAAAAACTACTTACCTCTTATGCATACCCAACAATCATCTTTTTTGTTGTGTTTTATAAGCTCCTCCTCTGTTACTTCAATTAATCTTCCTTTCAATCCTGTGAGATCCTTTCCACTTTTGGTCAGTCGAATCCAATCCATAAGACTTCTGCCTTGCTTTAAAGGTACCTCAAAAGGAAGAAGAATTTCTTCTCTTAAGTCAACTAAAAATTTTCCTATTTGAGGATGACTCATCCCCAAGGCTTCCCGCCTTATGTCCACTTTTCTGTTTTTATTAACTCCCTGGAAACAAACTGAAAATCAAATTTAAGAATTCATATATCTAGTATAGGCAAATTTTGTTACCAACTACTCCAAGGAGCTGTTCAAATTATACACTAGAATTTTATATTGAAAACTGAAATAATGGGCAGTCAGCTGAGACTTACAAATGTAGTCATCTAAACAGCTTTTCTCATAATAGTACCTAACAGGAAAATATTTGAGGAAAGTGAAAAAAACTTAAAATGGTTTCAGGGACAACTGTCTATACAAAAATCTGGATTTTACAAAAACTGAAACTATGAACCAACCAGTAAAGAAGCAAAATGTATGACAAAATAATGGAAAAGAGTAAAACTAGCACTGTTCAAAGCTTTGAAAGGGTCTTTATAGAAATAACACATTTTCATTATCTTCTAGAGCAGGAGTCCTTAATCTTGGATCTAGGAACTTTTTTTAAAAAGTATTTCGATAACTGTATTTCAATATAATTTATTTCCTTTGTAATCCTGCATATTTTATTTTAACCATTTAGAAATATTCTGAGAAGAGGTTCATAGGCTTCATCAGACTGCCAAAGGGGTTCATAACACAAATAAGCTAAGAACTCCTGTTTAAGAGCAAAAAGGCATTATACATGCTTAATAAATGTTTGATGAATGAACAAGTATATGAGTGATAGAAGAGTTTACAAGAAATTTCCATAAGAAAGTATAAAGTCTGTAACAATAGAACTGTAGAATAAAAAATAATATATCAGCAGAGACTGTTCAGAAAAGGTCTTTACTAAATCATAGTGATTAGATAATTCAAAATTAATAAATACTTTGGTTTTCTCCCAATGTCATACCCTTCTGTCTATCATTTTTCAAGCTAAATTGGCCACATAAAACATCTGTGTTTGACACATATTGACAGAATTCACAGATGCTAGGGAAATGGAATAGCTCCCTAGGATAAAAGGGAGTTTAAGCATAAAAGAAATTAAACCTGTTTTCATACTGGAAATTTATATTTATATTTGAACAATTGAGATTTGAACAATCTCATATTTAATATTTTGTAGGAGAAAATATGGCTAACACCAAAATTCTCTGCAGAACGGTTTGTGAAGCACTGATCTACGTCATTCTATCTACGTCAATCTCCTTCATAATATAATTTGGCTATCATCTGACTAAGTAGAGAAAGTAATGAGCCAGAAAATAAACTCTTCCACTCTGGGACAAAATCAGATCTTCCTCATTAAGCCAGGCTTCCAATTATCCTTCCCTTCCCTTTTCATCTAGCTAACAGGGAAACAATTAGGTTATTGAATTATTCAAAATTAATTTACAATTTCTCCCAAAATTCATGCAACACAGCAAAATCATTCAAAGGGGAGGAGGAACTTGGCTATATTTTGATAATTAGTAGCATTACTTCATTGTTGCAAATAATATGTGATAGTGTCAGCTAAGTGGATACGATTATATAATAACACTTGGAGCTGTACATAGCTGTTTACTTAGGTGTTACCTCCTCCATTAGACTGTGCTTTCCTTGAGAGCAGGGCTTGTTTTTTTTGCCTTTCTTTTTATCCCCACTCTGACTTGTAACACTATGCTAAGCACAGTGCCTGACACATGGTAGGTATTTAATAACTGCTTATTGATTTGACTTACAAGCTACCCAATAATGTCGGCTTAGCTCTAGTCAAACCACTTCCTTGGACCCTGGACAAATCACTTTTAAAAATGTTCATATCTCGAAGTGACTAGAGCGCTGGCCTTAGAGTCAGGAGGACCTGAGTTCAAATCCAGCTTCAAAATCCAGCTTCAGACACTTAACACTTACTAGCTGTGTGACCCTGGGCAAGTCACTTAACCCTGATCACCCACTAAAAAAAAATGTTCATACCTCCCCAATCTGCTAAAAACTCTCACTTGATCTGTCCATCCCCACTAGCTATCACCCCCATGTCTCTTCTGCCCCTTTATGGCTAAACTCCTTGAAAATCCACCTAAAACTGATAACTCCATTTCCTTTCTTCTCACTCTTTTAGCTCTATAATCTTACTTCCCAGATCATCATTCAATCAAAACTGCTTTCTCTAAAGTTACTAATGATCTCTTAATCGCCAATTCTAATGGCCTCTTTTCAATCCTCATTCTTCTTGACCTCTGATGGTGTCTTTGACACTATCAATTATCTTCTTCTCTTTTATATTCTCTTCTCTCTAGATTTCCATGACTCTATCCTGGTCCTCTTCCTGCTGTCAGACCACTCCTCAGCTTCTTTGCTGGATCTTTGTCCAGGTCACATCCCCCTAACTGTGAGTGTCCCAAAGGGCTCTGTCCTGGACCCTCTTTTCTTCTCCCTCTATAATACTTCAGTTGGTGACTTCATCAGCTTCCACAGTTTCAATTATCTTCTCTATGATGATGATTCTCAGAGAGATCTATGCAGTTAGGGAACCTAATTTATGCAGTTAGAGGTTAGGGAACCTCTCTCCTACCCTCCAGATTCATATCTGCAAATGCCTATCAGACTTTTCAAACTGGATGTCCCATAGATATCTTAAATTTAATTAAGTCCCAAACTGAACTCATCTTTGCTTCTGAACTTCCCTATTACTGTCAAAGGCACCACCATCCTCCTAGGCATTCAGATTAGAAAGCTACAAGTCATCCTCAATCTCTCACTTTCTCACCTATCCTATCCAATTTGTTGCCAAGTCCTGTTGGTTTTGCCTGTGTAACAACTCTGGTATATTGCCCCTTTCTCTCCTCTGACTCTTCCACTAACCTGATGTAGACCCTCATACCCTCACAACTGGATTACTAGAATATCCTTTGGGCTGGTCTCCCTAATTCAAGGCTCCACCCACTCCAGTCCATCCACCACTCAGCAGTCAAATTTATCCTCCTAAAGTGCAGATCTGACCACATCACTTCTCTATTCAATAAACTCCAGTGGCTCCTTATTACTTCCAGGACGTAATATAAAATCCTCTAGCATTCAAATCTCTTCAGACCCGGCCCCCTCCTATCTTTCTAATCTTGTATGCCTTACCTTACTCCTCATCACATACTTAGACAGCCAAATGGCACAGTGGATACAGTGCTAGACCTGAACATCAGGAAGACTGGATTTCAAATCTGGCCTTAGACACTAGCTGTTGTGACCTTGAGGAATTAATTTAACCTCTGTTTGCCTCAGTTTTCTCTACTGTAAAATGGGAATGATGATAATAGCATCTACCTCCCAGCGCTGTTACAAAGACCAAATGACATAATACTTGTAAATCACTTATCACAGTGCCTGTAGTAGGCACTGAACCTCTTTCTTTCACTCTTCACACCTTCTTCAGTACAGTCCTTATTTGGATGTAGTAAGCACTATATAAATACCTGTTATCATTATTAGTATAATTATTATTATATTCTGCAATATAGTGACACTGGCCTCCTTGCAACAGCTGACAAAAGGGAGTTCAACTCCTAACTCCGTGCTTTTTTACTGGCTGTTTCCCAAGTCTGAAATACTCTCCATCCCCCTATTTCCACTTCCTGGTTTCCCTGGCTTCCCTCAAGTCCCAGCTAAAATTCCATCTAATGGAAACCTTTCCTGATCCCCCTTAATAATAGTTCCTTGGCTCTACTGATTATCTCTTTGTATCTCTTTGTACCTAACTGTTTTTATGTTGTCTCTTCTACTGGACTGTGAACTCTTTGAGAGCAGGGGCTATCTTTTGCCTTTCTTTGTTATATACTGCACTTAGCACAGTGCCTGGCATATAGTAGGTACTTAATAAAGGCTTAATGGTTGACTGGACCTCCATTTCTTCTTTAGATGGAGGGAGTTTGGCTATATAGACTTCTAAGATCCTTCAGCTTCTACACCCATGATCCTGATCCCATCCTTCGCCAGTGCCTTCTCCAAGTTACTTTGTGTATGGAATAAATGTGATGACATATGTACAGCCCCTTGCAAATCTTCAAGTACTAATATAAACAATTATTATATATTTTGAATGAACTTGTTTTCTTATCTGTTTATCTATCTTATAGTTTTCCTGCAACTGAATGTAATTGGCAGAATCAGGGGTGAGGAATCTTTGGCCTCAAGGCCACATGTGGCCCTCTAGGTCCTCAAGTTCCGGCCCCTTGACTGAATCCAAACTTCACAGAATGAATCTCCTTAATAAAAGGATTTGTTCTGTAAAACTTGGACTCAGTCAAAAGGCCACACCCAAGGATCAGGAAGGCCACACGTGGCCTTGGGGCTACAGGTTCCCCGCCCCTGGTTTAGTTTTTTGGTTTTTTTTTTTAATTCTTATCCTCAAAATCCAGCAATTAACAGTTGCTTGATAAATGAGTATAACAAAGATAAAGATAATGATAATTATAAAGCTGATGAAGATGACTATGATGATGACCACCATGTGCACCACAGTGGACAGAGTGCTGGGCCTGGAGTCAGTAAGACCTGAGTCCAAACACAGCTTCAGATGCTTCCTAGCCCTGTGACCCTGGGCAAATCACTTAATCTGTAAAAATGGGATAATAATAGCACCTACCTCAAAGGGCTGTTGTGAAGGCCAAATGAGATAATATTTGTAAAGCGCTTAGCACACAGTACCTGACACACAGCAAACACTACATATTTGTAAAGTGTGTAGCACATGGTGCCTAGCATATAGTAAGCACCATGTAACTGTTAGGGCTTACTAACAGCTTTACAATACAGCACTTTAAGGTCTGCTAAGCGCTGTTCTATGATCTATGATCCCAAGAACTGGGGATGGGAGAAAAAAGTCAATGCACTGCCACACCTACTTTCTCCTCAACCTTGTTGTCAGTCCTTCTCCTTTTCCTCCAAGACTCTACTCAGGTACTGCCAATTTATCCTGAAAGTGTCTGATCGGATCCTCGAACACCTCCTTGCATGTTCCCTGAACCTCTTCCTGACTGTTCACACCTCCAGCCCTTATGTGGACTTGTGTCCCCTTCCACCTCCCCCTACTCCCCACTAAAACCTCCCTATGCTCACAAGGTCTTTGATAGGGTCTGGATCCTATTCATCAATCAAGGAATCAATAAACCCTTTTTTAAGCGTCTATGTGCCAGGCACCGTGCTAATCGCAGGGGACGTTAGGAAAGGCAAACGCCGGTCGATGCTCTCAATGAGCCCTCAGTCTAGGTCTGCAGCCCAACGCCCGTCCCAGAGTGGCCACTTCAGAAAGGTCTGTTGGCCTAGGATGGCCGGAGGGAGAAAGGGGGCCGAGGACGGTGAGGAAAAGGAAGGAGAAAAGGCAAGAGAGAGACCAAGGGCAGGCAGGAGGCCCGGGGACTGAGAGGATGGGGCCGGAGAAGGAAGCGCAGCAGCAGGCCGCGCCCGGGAGGGGCCGCCTGAGCATCCGCAGGGCCGGGCCTTCCCCGGGCTTACCTTACTGCGCCCCCCCGAGGCGGCGCGCTGCTGCGAGCCGGGGGCAGGGAAAGCCGGCGAAGGAACGTTCAGCATCCTGGGAAGAGCGGTGCGGACTCCGCCCTGGGGACTGCAATCGGCCGGGCCTCGCCGGGCCCCTTTAGTCACTGCTCCGGCTCGGCGGCCGGGCAGCGGCCAAGCCCCCGGCCCACTTCCGGGGTCGTCAGAGCGTCTCCAGGTGAGGAGCGCACCATGACGCAGCACGTCACCGCCGCAGCCTCCGCGGGCGGGGGCTGAGGGGGAGAGGTTGGGGAAAGCGGCACAGCTGCTAAGCGAGGGTGGAGCCAGGGCGCAAACTGCGCATGCTCTCAAGCTGAAGTTCAGGCTGACTTATCCTGAACAGAATCCAACCTCAGCACCGAAATCCAGAGACAGCGACTCTGCGCAGAGCCGAGCCAATGAGTACAGTGGAAGCTGTCCCAGTTCCTGGTGCTGACAGAATGTCTTTCACCCACAGCGCGCTCCTACCTTTCCGGATCCTCCTTTCGCTCTAAGCACTAGTCATCCTCCGGGAAGAGCATCCATTCTTCCTTATCAATCAATCAACAAGCATTTCTTAAGGGCCTATGGCCAGGCAGGGTTTTCAGACAATGAAATAAATAATCACTAGTGTTATTTACTGCTTTAACAATATTCGAGGTCCTTGCTCTTCAGAAACATATTACTTCGCATAACAACATTCATATAGCGCCTACTATGTGCCAGGCACTGTGCACTCTATACAATTATTATTTCATTAGATCCTCACAACAACCCTGGCAGGTAGCTGCTATTATTACCCCCATTTTACAGATGAGAACAATAAATAATGATAATAACAATATTTATATAGCACCTACTATGTGCCAGGCACTGTGCACTTGTTACAATTATTTTTTTCATTTTATCCTTACAACAACCCTGGGAGGTAGCTGCTATTATTCCCATTTTACAGATGAGGATAATAATGATAATAGCCAACATTTCTATAGAGAGCTTACTAGGCCAGACATTGTGCTAAGTGCTTTACAATTATCTCACTTGATCCCCACAACAACCCTGGAAGGCAGGTGCTATTATTATTATTTTTATTGTAAGATGAGGACGTTTTGCAGATGAAGACACTGCATAGGCCTTACTTCCTAGAAGTTTACAATCATTTACAAACAGGATCACAGAATTTTAAAGCTGGAAGGGACCACTGAGCCCATCTAGTCCAACTTTCACATTTTATGGATGATTCCCAGAAAGGATAATTGACTTGTTGAAAGTCATATAGGTCATAAACAGCAAAGTCAGGACTTAAATCCAGCTTCTCTAATTCTGAATCTAATGTTCTTTCTTTCATCTATTGAAAAAAATTCCCTAACCTCCCCAAATCCCTCATGTGAGGTTTGAGACACTTGTATTTCTAGGTACCATTTTAAATTTTAAATAAGAAGCCTGGCCTAGTGATTCTAGTCTCATAACCTGGAAGATCTAGCCTCATATCTGGCCTGTGACACCCAGCAGTTGTGTGACCTTAGTTCAGTCACTTAACCTCTTTCTTAATTCCTGTGGGCAATTAATAGTTGCCAATCTTTATCAGTGGTGGGGAGGTGAGTGAGGGTAGGAGGAGCCAGGGAAAGTGTCCTCACACTTGAAATTCCCTACACAGATGAAATCACAGATATGGAATTTATATTTTAAATTCTCATCTATTCTAACTCCCCAATCAACTCCTTCTTCAGTCCTGTAGTCTTACTCCCAGAAATTCTGGGAGTTCATCAATCTTATAACTCCATTTGGCTATAACAGCACAGATTAATATAAGTATATAGAGCACAAACATAACTAAGAATACCCATTTCTAACTACCTAGAGCTCAGATTTGTGATCCTTTGTTGCTTTTCTAGAAATCACTCAGACTTCAACCCTAAGAATACAACACAGAAAGATAGGGGGGAAAAAAATAAGTAAAAGAAACACAGCTCCAAATCTTAGAATAGCCAGTCAATCAGTCAACAAGCATTTATTAAGTGCCTGCTGTGTGCCAGGCACTGTGCTAAGCACTGGAGATACAAAAAGGGGCAAAAGACAGTCCCCACTCTCAAGGAGCTCAATGATCTAATGTCTCATGGTTCCTTGAGACCCCCTTTCCACCCTTTGTCACGTTCTAGACTTAAGACATGGCTTGAACTTGACATTTGTCTTTTTTATCTCCCTTTATGCTTCAATACCTCAGTTGGAACCAAGATCATAAGGAGCAGGAAATTAAAGTTCTGGCGTACAAATTATTTGCCAGAAATAACAGTTATTATTCTAGAAAATAAGGCAAAGAATGAGTGTGTGTATATGTAGTGTCATTTTTCAACTTTGTATCCCTATGTGCTTGATATATAGCAGGTGCTGAGTGATGAACTGATTTTGTTCGAAAGATTCTATCAGTTATGCTTTTCTGAATGCTCATTATGATCTAAGGAGCAGGTTTTCACTTGTCACTATCCTGAGATAGAACAATAGCATTTCTGTGCCAGTCTGTAAGTGAATATTTTTAAATTATAATTTTACATATATATGAAATTTATAATAATTACATTTTTTTTCATTTCAATGTCTGAAGTTAGAATGAACTCTGTATGTATGTGTTGATGGGTGGGTGTGTATATAGACATACACATACATACATATATGGAAGTATAAAGAAAATAAATATAACTAAGAATATCATATGTAATATTATGTAATTATTGTGGATTTATTGATATACAGAGAGAGAGAAAGAAAAGAGAGAGAAGGAAACAGAGAGAGAGAGGACATTTCAACTCTACATATTGAAACAATAAAAAGTAACTATTATAGATTTCTTAATTTACTATACACTAAGGAAGCTTAATTTTAAAATATTTGGACGATTGCAGGTTTAGTTATTTGAAAGGTGATTATATAAAGTGAAATTTGCATCATTTTTTGTCAAGGATTTTTTAAAAATCCATACTGGATCCCAAGTCTCGGTTATACTATTACTTGAAAAGGTGTTTCTCTTAATACCAAACATGTTTGGAAGCACAAGAGATTTTTCTTCATAGTCTAATTTAAGAATCAAAATAAATTATTGGATCATTCAGTTAACACTAGCTGGGCAGTGTATACACACTGATTAAATCATGAAACTTTTAAAGGAGCAGTGAAGTACCTAATTATATGTCAGCTGACATCTGGAAAATTCTATAAAGTCTAGAAGGTAATACCAGATGATGTAAGATCCAGATTTAAAACTGAAGTATTTATTGATTGCTTCACTTATTTATTCAAGAAATATTTATGCAGGGCCTACTACGTGCAAAGCATAGTGCTACACTGGGGATACAAAGATGAACAATGACTTGGATATTGGAACTCTTATTTAGAATTATGGAATATGAAAAATGTAATGAAGGAGTCTAGATCTGTGATTTCATCCACACAAGGAATTCCCAGTGTGGCTTACTCCCTTCACTAGAATAGATCAGGGGTTCTTATGTAATTTATAGTCTTGGTTGCCTAGGGCAAAAAGAGATTGAGTGATATGCCCATGATCATATAGCTAGTATGTAACAAAGACCTGTAGGATCATAGATTTGTAGCTAGAAGGGACCACAGAAGCCACTTGGTCCAGTGTCCTCATTCTTCAGATGAAGAAACTGAGACCCAGGGAGTGACTTGTCTAAAGTCACACAGGTAGCAAGTATCAGAGGTAGGATTTGAACCCAAGTCATCTGACTCCAAAGTCTAAGTTTTATCCAGTGTATCATGCTGAAAAAACAGGAACTTCCTCTTTCTTGACCCCAAAGCTTACTCTCTATCTATTACGCTATAGTTCTGCTCTCAAAACTTTTAATAAAAAACCCAAAATTGTCACAACTTAACTTTAATAATTCAAAATGATAAAAATGCAATGAAAAAAATGTGCTTGTTTCTGATAAGGTGCTAGCATTATACCTGGGAGTAGGGAAGCATGACAAACGCCAAACTACCCTATCAATTGTAAAATATTTTAACATTTTATTAATAACTTACACACAAATAAATTATATTTTAAAAACACTATGATACATTTGTACATTGAAATTTTAATGCTATAAACTTTGAATTCCTTCAAAAAGAATCAATTCAATTCAGTTCCTGAATCCTGAATCAGCTCCTCCTCCTCCTCCTCCTCCTCCTCCTCCTCTCTTCACTATCAGAATCTTCATAAAATGAAATTGTAGCTTGAATTGGAAAATTTTTCAGAAGAGATTCTGCTTCTTGATACAAGAAATCATAACATTTTGATTTGGGCCAAAATAGTCTGAAACAAGTGGACAACACAGCATGCTTTATTCTTCACGTATATTTGTTTTCAGAATCCTTATACTCATGAAATTCTCCCATTGATGTCCCAAGCTTCCATTGATCCAACAGTTGATAAATGCCCTTTGTATGGTTCCATGAGGTTAGTATTAGTATCCTAGCTTTCATATGATAACATTTCAACAGTATCTTTATAACTGATTTTTTGCCACCCCAAATAAGGTTCTAAGTTGAAAATGTACAACTACTTAAAGAACTGACCAATATTGCCTTCCTTTTACAGAAGTATAATGTCAGCATTTTCACTTGAATCTATGGTTCAGGATTTATGTTACTTCAATCACAATGGATATATTTATACTTACCGGAAACAGTTTTATTTCCTAAATAGTTTAAAGAACAATTTAACCTGACATAAGGCTTTGAGTTCTGATAACAGCAAAGGTTGAATTTTGAATTATTACGAATTTTGCACAAAGACAATATAGATCTAAACCTTGCTTGAAATTAATAAATATTGCCTGACTTTGTCCATGGTCAACAAATATGATCATGAAGACTGTAAGATAGAGCCAGACTAAAAAACAAAAACAGAATTTTGTTTTTGAAAGCATTCATAATTAGTATAAAGGTAAGGCCACTTCCCATTCCTTAAAGTAATCACTATTGCTCATGGTTCAGATTGGGTTTGCTGCATATAAAATTTTCTCAACAATTTAATTTTGTGGGTAAAATAGATTGTGTGGAAAAACTAATTATAATATCTTAATTTATTTAATATGGATTTTTTATTTTATTATCCTTTTCACAGATTTAATACATTTTTCTTCTTTGCCAAGGTAACATCAATATATTCTACTGGGAATATTTTAGGTAAAAGTAAGGTTTCAAAAAGATAGATTGACTACATAAAGCAGAATTGAACATTGTGAAAAATTCCCACTGATTTTAAAAGGAATGTTACGTATATTAGAATGACTGGCTAAAAAGTCTGAATAAGAAAATATACACTTAAAGGTGGAACATTCTGTTAAAAATCTTCACTGCATTTTTTTTCCAAAGGAAGAATCTTTTTGGCATTTATTCTGTCCTTCTGGAACCCATTTTGTGATTCTAACAAAAATGATCATTTTGATGGAGGAAAAACATATTGAAAGCTGATAATTAAGTTGAAGAAAAAGTCTGCATAACATTCAGATTGTCATAAAATTTTCCTGTTTAGCCCTATACCAGAGTCTGCCTATTTGCCTTTATTCCTCACCCCTTATACAGTTAGGTTAGCAGCAGTCATATCACTAAATTAAGCAGCTTAAAAGGATTTAAACCCTGCCTGAAACCTCCTGTGGAAGTACTTCTAACTCAAGCCCCCCTAGCACAAAGCTATGAATCAGGAATCATATTTTTAAAATAATACACTTCTGAACTTCAAAAATTTTCATATTCCAGTTAGAAATGAATTAAGCACAGATAACAACATGGTGGGCTATCACATGAGTGTCTTGCTGTAACCATTATTTTCCATAGAAAATCTTGTGATTTGAACCTTATACCCCCTATGTTGAGACTGCAACACTATGTTCATCATCATCTTTCAAAATCAAAGTCAAAGTAAAAATAACAGGGCACTTCTCAATCCCAATATTTGGTTATACACATATATCCAGATATCAGAATTCCAGCAACCTCAGTCTCCAGAATATTGCCCTGAACCTGAAAGTGAAAAAGGCCTCAGAGGGTGTACCACATTACATTAACCAAATGGGCAAAAAAAAGAAAGAAAAGAAAAGAAAAGCAATGAAACACTATGCTGGCAAGTTGTGTACAAACAGGTACAACCTATCCATTGTTGGTGGAATTGCAAACTTATAGGATCATTGTGAAAAACAATCTCTTTAGTACATAGTAAAAGTCACCGAAATAGTCATATCCTTTGATCTAGCAATTTCACCATGGGGAACGTCCTTGGAAAGTGCTATCAAAACCAAAATCAAAAAGGAAGCTATCTGTACAAAGATTTCTGCAACAGTATATATAATTGTCAAGAAAGAAAGAGGAGAGAGAGAGAGGGAGAGAGAGAGAGAGAGAGAGAGAGAGAGAGAGAGAGAGAGAGAGAGAGAGAGAGAGAGGAGGAAGGAAGGAAGGAAGGAAGGAAGGAAGGAAGGAAGGAAGGAAGGAAGGAAGGAAGGAAGGAAGGAAGGAAGGAAGGAAGGAAGGAAGGAAGGAAGAAAAGAAACAGCATAAATGTCCAATAATAGGGGAACAGTTAAATAAGTTGTGGTACATCAATGTAATGGAATACTATAATGCAATTAAGGGCAACATATATGAGGTTTACAAAGAAACCTAGAGGGTTTTATAGGAAATAGTGTAAAATTTAAACAGCAGAATGAGGAAAATGGAGTATACAATATTCACAAACGTTTCAGAGGAAAAGTGAGTAAGAATGAATAGACAAAACTCTGCTGGGGATTTAGAGTGACTAAAAATATGGTCATGCTGCTTTATGCATCGAAATTAAGCAATTTAAATGTAAATAGTAAGCAAGTTTAATTGATTGTATTGATGTTCAGTGTTAATCATTTTAAACGCACATCCACAACCCAAAAGAAAGAAAGAAAGGCCTCAGAGTCAAATAGGCTATAAGGCCCATTCATTTCACTCAAAGAAAAGGCTAAAGGCATTTTTAGGCCAGAAAAAAAAAGAGGGGAAAAGAGTGAAGATCAGACTTATGTGTATAACCTTGTTACCTGGTTTCCCCTAATTTTTAGCAAATTAGAAGCGCATAGGGGGAATGGCAATAGTGGAAATGGAAGTGGAAATAATCAAAAACTGAAAGCTGACATTAAAGGAGGATACAGCTGAATCTGCTGAATCATGAACTATAAAGCAATCTTTTTACTATGAGAGAAGATCCACTATGGACAGTACCTTATACCCCTGAGAGAATCACTGCATCAAAATTAAAGGACAATGAAAGATTAATTATTTTCAGTGGACTCTGGTTGTCTAGCTTCAAAAACCCAAAGGCTTTTGTGACCCTGGACAAGACACTAAATCTCTCAGCGCCCCTAGGCAACTTTGTAAAATTGTCAATAGCAAAACAGTTGCAGAAGAACTATATTGGTAGAGGGAATTTCCTCATCTAGAGAACCCTACACCAATGAAATCATAATTGAAGACACATGTACACATAATATGATTTTTAAAAGCAAGCATTACACACACAGATGTATGTACATATTAATATATGTATGTACACACACACACATACACACACACACACACACACACACACACACACATATATATTTCCATTAGAACTGTTACAACTTTAAGCTTTCTTGCCTAACAGTGTAGGCTTTGGTTATATGGAAAATTCATTTATGTGGAACACCTCACTCTCCAACGTGTTACTTTGTGTGTGAATAAACATGCTTTACTATAAATATTATCTCAGAGCTCTATATAATACTCCTATGAAATATACAAAGGACAGAACAATGAGCCTTACATTTCATTGGCAGCAGTGACTAACCTGACATCACAGAACTGGGAAAATGCTTCCATTCCAGGGCTCTTCCCTGGATCACACAACCTTTCTGACTATAAAATGACAGATGACCATAATCTCTAGGGTCTTTCTTAGTCTTCAGTTTCTAATTCCTAAGGGTATCACCCCACTGTCCTAACCAAATTACTAGCTTTGAAGCTGTCATCTCATGTAGTCTCATTCCTCTTATTCATTTTCAACAGGAACAAAAAAAAAAGTGCTCCTTGAATGACGCCAACTTCATTTACATCCTGCAGGCTTCTAAAACATCTGCAAGATGCAAGGTGACACTGCCGTACTTCTCTGCATCAGAGATTCTCCCTAATGTTTCCCTTTACGATAAAAGATTTCCCAAGAATTTATGACATAATAGGTATAATAATTCTTTAGATGGGGACAGGGAACTATTATATTCCTACATTTTGGCAGAGAGAAAAAAAAATTAACCTGCAAACAGAACACAGAATAGCTTAAAGAAGGTTCTATTTTTCCAAAGAAGGACGTCCTGGACCATCTGACACCCAGCCAGCCAGCTACATCGTGCAATTCCTTCCTACTACTCTCCTCGGAAGGGTGAAAGAGTAATTAGAGGGGGTAAGACATGCCACTCACCTGACTGGATGTTTATATTGGGAAAGTTTTCCAGAGGTTTCTGTCATCCCAGGCAGATCACACACCTAAGATTCAAATGAGAAGGAACCAAATTACTCACTTCCAGGAGAAGACGGTAGAATGGATCATCCCCACAGAACAGCCAGCCCCGCCTACCGAGCTCTGGAAGCCGCTGCGGATCCCTTTCAAGAACCAAATCTAAATCTATTTCAAGGAAAGCAACCATCTGATCCCACTGGCAGAGGTTCTACTAGGTGGAATCTCAGGTATGGCAGAGATGCCCAATATAGGGTAGGGGCTAAATGGGACACACAGGATCGTGACTTTAATAGTCACTTGGGTCCTGACCCTCCTATGTCAATGATCTGTGATTTCGTCAATGTGCGAACTCCTTCCAATGACGCAAATCGCGGCATTTCTCCGCCCCCTCACGCACTTTACGTCTCGCCCCAACTCGCTTATTTGCTGTTCTATCTTCCGCCTCCGAGCCTTTGCCTCTGCCCTCCCCCATACCTGAAATGTTTTCCTTTTTCACCTGCTGACTCTTAGAATCCTTAAACGCTACATACAGACCAGACACTTTTAGAGCCCCTCCTTATTGCAGTTGGCACCCCCACCCAATGCTATGTTAAATGTTTGTCTTCGTGTATTGGTGAACGTGCTGTATTGCCCCCAAAACAATGCTAGCTCCTTAAAGGCGTCAGACTGCTAGGTTTTTGTACTCCCAGCACACAAGTTCAGTGCCAGGCACATAATAGACCTTTAATAATTGCTTGCTAAATGAAACTGCATCTGTCTACAATTCTGAGAGGTCGAACAGCATCAGTCACAGAGAAAATAAGTGACTTGCTCTGGGTCACAAGGTCCTACTGCCTATATGGCCAGTACTCTCTCTTCCTGCCTATTAAGTCTGGCGTTCACTACCTCCAAGTCTCCCCATTCCAAGCCTTTTACGCGCGCGCGCGCGCGCGCACACACACACACACACACACACACACACACACACACACACACACACACACACACACACACACACACACACACACTTTACTCTTCCCCTCAATCCTGAGTGTCTGTGTGCATTTCTCTCTGGCTCATACAGGACAAGGGCCACTTACGGTATCCTTGGGGTTGGGCCGCATTTTCTCAGCTTCCTCTCTAGGGGTGCCAAGCCAAGGTCTCCAAAAAGCAGGCGACCTGCAAGTCGCGGGGGGTGTGGGGAAGAGAGCAAGGACACCAGAGAGAAGTGTGAGTCAGAGGCAAGGCGGCTGTCGTGATCGCAAAGCAGAGGGGTTAAGATTTTACTGAGACAGAAGGGGGAGGGTTTGGAGTGGATGGGGGCGGGGGTGGAGGGGGTAGAGAGAGAAAGAGAGAGAGATGAGGGATATGTGGAAAAGGGAGCAGAAAAAAAAACTGGAATTTTTCAGTCACACGTAGGGAAAGGGATTGAGGTGTTGAATACCGTGAGTTGTTGTTCCCTGGCCTCAGGGTCTGAGAAGCTGGGGTTTCAGGAAGCAAACGGCAGCAGCTGGCCCAGTAGGGTCGGGACTCCGAGCTCTCCAACCTCTCCATGTATACACCCGGTCACTAAGGCAGGAGATCCTTCTCCCACATCCGGCAGCCCTGGTCTTCTTTTATATAGTCAAGACCTCCTGATGCATATTTAGAAATGCCCCCCTCCCCACGCCATCCCAGACCTCCGGCCAGCGGGGTAAACAAAAAGGCTGAGCGTGAAGGCCAGTTCGGGTAAACAAGGCGGGGTGCGAACGCGTGCAGCTCCCAAATGGCCCAAGGAGGGATTTGTGGCAAGCAAGTGTTAATCGCTCTTAAATAGACACATGGCAACCACACTAGCCCATTTCCATGTGAAGAGGGGAGGAGGAAAGATTAAGCGAATCTACATGGTTTGTGGAGATTTTTGCAGAAAAACTGGTAGTGTCTGGGGGCCACCCGAACCGCCCTAGTCTCCTGGCTTTTCGGCTAGGGCAGCTGCACTCAGCTAGACATCCAGGGCTCCAAGAATGGTACTGGAAACGCAAATGAAAAGGGGCTTTCTTGACCCCCTTTCACAGGGCCCAGTCAAGCATGTGAATAAGAGCCCTGTTATACATAAAACAGATTAAACTCCTTGAAGGAAGGGAGGGTGCCATTTAATCTGATTTGTACCTTCCCTTCCCGGAACCATGTATGTGTGGCTTCTTTAATACCATTGGACAATGGTGATCATCTGTCAAGGAAACAACTGAACATGATAAGAAGTGGCCCAGGAATGAAGAAGAGAGTCAGAGGAAGCATAAGTCTTGTAATGTCAGTGTATAGGTATACATTATTTAAGCTACGTTGTCTGCAGTAGTTTTTCTTCTCTTGCCTCCCTCTCTCCCCCCATTTAATTGTGAAAAACCAAGCCTATGCTTAAAACCCACATTCTGGAACCATTTAGCATCTAAACCCAGTGCTATCCACTCAGTGGGTGCTGCTTAGGAGAGAAACTCTGCAAATAAGATTTTTTTTTCAAATATAATAGGAAAGATTTTGGTCATTGTGGAAATTTCTTGCACCCATGAAAATCACAAGGGGGAGAAGGGGGCTCATAAGACCAAGGGAACAAACATTTATTAAGCCTGCTGCAAGTAAGGAACTGACCTAAGCATTTGTAAACACCTTATTTGATCCTCACAATAACCCAGTGAGGTTAAGTGCTAAATGTGTAACTATGGCTTAATAGATAAGTCCTAAGGAGTTGTCTGTGGTACCCAGAGGTTGTGACTTGAAGAGGGTCCTAGAGAGAGCCCCTACAACAAGATATCTCAACTATGAACTTTAAGTACTATGAGATGCACTTTGTCTTAAAAATTGTAGATGGACTACTTGAATTCAAGGGGGCAGCTGAGTGGTGAAGTAGACATAATGCCAGGCCTGGAGTCAGGAAGCCTTATCTTCATCTGGCCTCTGACACTTCTAGCTGTGTGACCCTTGGTAAGTCACTTCACCCTGTTAACTTCAGTTTTATCATCTATAAAATGGGCTGGAGAAGGAAATTGCAAACCACTCCGGTATCCTTTGGCAAGAAAATACCAAATGAGGTCGGGATGGTTTGGACACAACTGAAAAATAACTAAACAATGAATTTGAATTCAAAGTGAAGTATTTTTTTCTATTTAATGAGTGAGTCAAACCATTTCTGGGTGGGAAAAATAGTCTGGACTAAATATGTCCTTGGCTGCTCTACTCATTCCTCTTCCTTTCTCTTAGAATTACATTAACCATTTGGGCTTAAGAAAATTGAAGAGGAATTAAGAATAATAAATATGGATAGATGTTAAATTGCCAGTTTGTACATAATGTATATACTATTAGTATGGACCCTCTAACATTATAAGCAGTAATAGCCATATTAAGTAGGGGGTTTTGTGACTGAGAAAATTTTAATATCAGAGTCAATTTAACATTTTGGCCCAAATTTTTAGCATTGTGTTCATATGACTTATACTGTTTGTCTTTCTTCCTTAGCCTTTCCACTGAACCAAGCATGACTAAGCCTTCCCCAGAAGGCCAGAGATTTCTCTCACCAGTCTGCAGAGCAGGCAGCTCTTTACATTTTTAATGACTGGGGATGGGATAGAGAAGGGCTAGGAGAAGCAGCAGTGACAGTTTCTGGAAATGCAAACTGCTTACCTCCTGCCATGAGGGTTTGATTGGTATAAAGGCAAGAACCTTTCTACGATATAGTAGATAAGTCCTAGAATAGGATGGTTTACCTACAGACTCAACAGCAAATAGGTAAGAGACTTGATCAGACTTCAAGGTCATCATCATCTTCTATGTTGCTGCCTTACTATTCTGAATTTACCCCTCCCCCTTCCAAACGCGGATGGTTGCATGCTTCAAGAACAGAGATTAACAAATCACATGGACACTCTGGAATATAAATATAATTATAATGGAAAAGGAAGAAATGAAAGGACCAAAAGCACTAATACGACGTTAGATTGTTTGCTAAATTAAGAAAAAATCAATAATAATATCGAGTTGTATCTTTCTCATCCTTTCCCAAAAATACTATACACGAAAATCGAATTTAGATGCAATACAATTCAGAATTTTAGAACTGGTATAGAACTTAAAGATCTCTAGCCTTTTCAAATTATTTTGCAGAGAAGGAAATTGAGGATTGAAAGAGGGTAAATGACTTGATCAAAGTCATACCAACTCTCTTCACATATATAATAGGATTTGCATCAAAGTTAGAATCTCGTAAATCAACTTGTGAGGGGAGGAAACATAAACGCAAATTGTGTCAAGAGGAAAACATATCGATAGTCATTTTCAAAACTATTTCACTGTATAAAAACAAAGTCCAGGTTTACAAATACACAGTGATTTGAGTGTAACAATTTGCTTTACAAAAGAATGTTTCACTTTAAAAAATGGTTGTCTTAGAATTCTCTGCATTACACTTTTAGTAGAAACTTCCTCTAATGTATTTAAAATACTCAAATTTATACAAATTCAGTTTATTGTGCAACTTTCCAGGAATACATCTATAATAGAAAGCTAGGTATACCTATACTTCCAACTTCTGCACTATATATTTCAGTTAGGATGACAGATACAAAGAATTGTACAAAGTTGGATTGTTGTTACTGTCATTGTTTTTAAAATCACATGAGAGAGTCAGTGTGACATAATGGATTGACAGCCAACCTAGAACCCAGTTCTAGTCCTACCTCTGATAGGTACTGGCTGTGTGATCCCTGGACAAGTAACTTAACATATCAGTGCTCTTGACAACTCTCTAAGACTACATAAATTGTAGAGTCAGTGCCAACCATTATTTGGAGAGGGAATTTCCTTATTTGGAAGTTCATTATATTAACATAATCACAAATCTAGTCTCTGTCCATATGAGGGTATGATCAATGACCTTTACACAGAAAATATAAATGCTATTGAAACAGATAATAGAAAAGTCTTTTGGAGTTCACCAACCTTGCTCACAATTCTCCTGTATGTTTATTTTTTTTCTTTAATTCAACAAACATTTATTAAAGCCCTACATGTGATAATCAGACATCTAAGTCAGAATAAGAAAAAGTTAAAAAAGAAAACTAGAAGAATACAATTTAGGTTCTCTTTTTGGATGTGACCTGGTGTTGGCCTCTCTTCTCAATGAGACCTCATTAAGTATGTGACTTACCCACTACTTACACAATGAGGTGAGACTCAGAGGTGTGAAGGACTGAGGAGAATATAATGACTCACAGCTGTTACTGCCACCTTGGGCCTCCATGATAAAAGGTCCTACTTGGTGCAGTCCCAGGAGAGTTCACAGCTCCTGTGCATTTCTTCTTATTCAAGACTTTATAAATATTATATAAAGAAAACTACAAGACAATATAATTTACTTTACTCACTTAGAAAAGGTAATGCATCCCTTTTCAAGCAGTCATCATCAAACATTTATTGAGGGCTTACTATGTACTAGGCACTGTGCTAAATGCTGGGGATAGAAAGACAAAAACTTGTACCCCATCCTCAAAGGAGTTAATTTCAATTCAATAGATGTTAGAAGAACCTAGTTGGTGCAATGCATTGTGCTAAGTGATGGAGATATAAAAATGAAAAATGACATATGTCTGCCCCTTAAAGTACATAGGACAAATCCAACAGAGAGAACTGAAGGATTTGATGGGAGGAGGTATCATTTCTGGCTAGCTTAGTAAGGGTAGCCCTCAGCTCTAGGCCTTGAAAGAAGGTAAGCATTTCAACTGTCAGAGTCTCTTGGAAGCCAATGGAATGCACAAATGCATGAAGAAGAAAGAGGGCTAGACATGAGTGGGAAAAGCTAGAAAGGTAGGTTGAAGCCAGATTGTGGAGGGTTGTAAATACTGGCCAGAATAAGGATTTCAACCTAATGACAACAGTGATTCTCTGACAGGTTTTGAGCAGGGGAGCTATATAGTCAGGTCTTTACATTGGGAAATTGCTTTGTCTGTAGTGTGAAAAATAAGTTGGAGAGGTGAGAGATAGGATGTAGGGTAGGCTTCAGTTAAGAAACTTTTGCAATAGTCCAGGTGAGAAGTAAGGAGGGTCTAAGCAGCCAGTGGGGAGATAAAGTTTAACTGTTTACACATGACTTTATTAATAGGTTTAATAATATTTATTTTAGTTATGTAAGTTAACCAATATTCATTATGAGTCATTTTTGAAAGTTTTATAAATATGCCTCAAAGGCTAATCTTGAAGATTAACAGCAAAAGAAAACCAAATGATCTTTTCTAATAATCAAGGTTATTTTGAAACATTCATCTGTGTTTCACATGTTATTGATGATGATTTTAATTTTTTAAATGATTGTTATGATTTTCTTCCTTTCTTTTGGGCTCTACTTGGTAGTTCACAGACATAGGGGATTCCTAGTTGAGAAACTGATGAAGAACTGTTGTTGTTGTTCCGTCATTTTTAGTCATGTCTGACTCTTCATGACCCCATTGGGGGTTTTCTTGGCAAAGATACTGGAGTAGTTTGCCATTTTCTTCTCCAGGTCATTTTACAGATGAAGAAACTGAGGCAAACAGGGTTAAGTGACTTGCCCAGAATCACACAGCTAGTAAGTGTCTGAATTCAGACTTGAATTCTGAAGATGAATCTTCCTAATGCCGTGCCCAGGGGTCTTGTAACTGTTAATTTTAGAGAGCTGCTTGGAGAGTTTAAGTGACTGAAGATTAGCTGTGTCACACAACTAATATGTGTCAGAGGCAGCTAGAACTCAAGCCGTCTTGACGCTAAGGCCAGCTCTTTATCTGTTTTGCCATGTTGCCTCTCTTTCCATCACCCTTATAATGACATTAAAATTAATTGACAGAGTAAAATGGAAAAGTTCTCCAGAACATTTTTATTTGCCAC